ATACAGACCACCAAGAGACATATGAAAAATTGCTGAAAGTCACTGATCATCAGAGAGATGCAAATTAAAACGACAATGAGTTATCACCTCACACCTGTCACAATGGCTACCATCAACAAATCGACAAATGACAAGTGCTGGCAAGAATGTGGAGAAAAGGGAACCATAGTACACTGCTGGTGGGAATGAAGACTGGTGCAGACACTGTGGAAAACAGTATGGAGGGGAAAGTGGACATATGTAATACTTTCAAAAGTAAACATTTAATTTTTTTTAAAAGGTCATCAGGACAGAAAGCCCCAGGTACCTAGCAACGGGCTAAAATGGGAAAACTAGGACCTCGCCCCCATGGTAACCTTTCCTCCCCAAGCATATTGCCGGGCATGGGATTCAGACCCCTTGACTTTCATATTCCTGGTTGTGCAGTTCAGACCATCCTCTGACCTTTCCTCCAGCATGTCACCAGTCATGCGGTAGACCCTCTTGGAGGAGGAACAAGAGGCCTAAGGGTGGACTCCCTTGGATGACCACTCCCTTATGCATTGACCCCTAGGGATAACATCTAGGCTTCAGTTGTGTTTCAGCTCCAGGCACAGCCAGACAAGAAGCCATGGCTGACCTCAGGACCAGCTGCATTGACTAGTAACCCCCTGCCCAGGAGGCCACCAATCAGTGAAGACCATGACCCTGAAAGGACACACCTGGAAAGCTACACACCAGCAATGAATTTGAAACTAAAAACACACCATTTACATTAGCACACCCCCACAAAAAGTACAATCTGACAAAATAAACCTAACAAATTACATAAATCTAAGAATATACATACAAGATATATGTGAGGAAGACTACAAAACTGCTGATCAAAATAAAATAAATAAATGGAGAGATATTCCACGTTCACAGTTAGGAAAACTCAATATTGTCAAGAGGTCAGTTCCTTCCAATTGATGTTTAGATTTAATACAATTCTAATCAAAATCCCAACAAGCATTTTGTGAATATATAGAAACTGATTCCGAACTTTATATGGAGAAGCAAAAGTACCCAGTTCAACCAACACAATGTTGAAGAAGAACAAAGTTGGAGGACTGACACTACCCAACTGTACGACTTACTATAAAGCTACAATAATCAAGATGAGAGTGGTAATGGCGAAAGAATAGACAAACAGATCAATGGAACAGAGAGCCCAGAAATAGACCCACATAAATATAATCAACTGATGGTGAAAAGGAGCACAGGCAACACAACGGCATAAAAATAGTCTCTTCAACAAATGGTGCTGGAACTGGACACCCACAGCAAAAGAAATTGATCTAGGTACAGATTCTGCTTTTTACAAAAATCAATTCAAAATGGATCCACAGACCTAAATGTAAAACACAAAACTATAAAACTCCTGGAAGATAACATAGAAGAAAACCTAGAAGACTTTAGGGATATGGGTAGATTTTTAGATAGATGATCAAAAGAATGATCCATGAAAGAAATAATTGGTAAGCTGGGCTTGATTAAATTAAAACCTTCTGCCCAGCAAAGGACACTGTCTAAAGAATAAGAAGACAACCTCAGACCAGAGGAAATATTTGCAAAATATGCATCTGGTTGAGGACTGCTAGCTAACATATACAAAGAACTATTTAAAACACGGAAATAAGAAAACAAACACCAATTTAAAAATGGGTGACTTCAGGTCAAGATGTCAGAATAAAAATGGCAAAAATTTTATAGAGAGGTTTCTTCTCAGAGCCAACAGTTGGTAAGGGTGCCACGGGAGACAGAGAATGGACAGATGAGGAGGAGGAGCAGACCCAGAGTTAAGGCCACTGAGAATGAATGAGGTGTTGGCCTGGGCCTCCCAGCCACACACGCAAATGGCAGGGAGTGCTGATACTTGACCTTCTGTTTGCCTCAGCAAAGCTAAGGGCACGTCCAGGCGGAGAGTAGAAAACAAGCAAATACACCTCAAACCTCAAAACAAAAGCAAAAACAGACTATGTGCTATTGTAAGGCAGAAAAGTTATGTGTTGTGTGTTTTTTATTTTTAACTACAAAAGGGAATTTATTTCAAAGGCGTAAGGAAACACTTACTTTTGAACAATGTGATAAACAGATATCTTGCAAAAGAAAAACAATCATGACATGAAGTTTTTCATTCAAATTTTTGAAGCAAAAGTAACCTAAGTTGTGCATGATTGCCTTGGTGAAGGGAAGGGGAACAATGAGGTGGCAAAGGAAGAAACACAGTCAACTCAATATCAAACTTAAAGTGGAGTCAATTCTGCTCAGCTTTGAGTTTATAAATATTCTTTAAAAAAGAAAAAGGAAAAGTTACCCCTAGTGTTCAAATTTATATAACTGTAGTCCTAATACAGTTCCTATATACAGTGGGGCCTTGACTTATGAGTGTCCCGACTAACGAGTTTTTTGAGATACAAGCTGTCTCTCGGCCAATTTTTTGCTTTGAGTTGCGAGCTAAAATTCGGGTTACGAGCCAGCTTCAGATACCCCACCGCTAGTTGGCGCAGCGAACGTCACAGTGAACGCCACAACATCAGCCCAGCATCACGTGTCTCACTCGTTCACTTTAATGATTTGACATACGAGTAATTTGAGTTACGAGCTCCGTCACAGAACGAATTAAACTCGTAAGTCAAGACTCCACTGTACTTGAATTGGCTTTCGGCCACCTGATCACAGTTTTCAAATAGCAATTCCATATTCCTAAGTCTGTTCAGATTCCAAGGGAGCTCAGGTTCAGCTCACTGTCTTTTGGAATGTTTAGATTATTGCCACCATTCCATAATCAAGGTGACCAATTTCTTATGCTCACTTGTATAATTCTAGTCTTCAAAAAGTATTTATCCCATAAACATGTGCAGTAATTCTAACAAAGGGGTTTTGTTTTTCCCCCAATGTAAGGGTTAGCAGTAATGAAGACACTGCCATTGGAATTACTAACTATTCCTCAAAAAATATGCCAAACTACTAGAAAATGTTACTCAGACATTGGATTAGAGTAGCAAACTTGGGGAGGGAATATTAACTGTGAAACAAAAATATATGAAACATTCAAATGCAGAGCAAAGGACCTATGCTACTAAAAACCCATGACATTGTCATCACCATGTCAAAGATTACCTGTTCCTGGAATTTAAAAAAATGATTTATGTTGTGTAGTCAAAATATATATATCTTATGTATGTATGTATGTATATTATGTATGTATGTGTAGGAATGCTGAACCATTGCCTAGCAGCTTTATTTAAAAAAAAAAAAAACAATGAAAACCAAATGTTAAAATTGACCATTACTCTTCTCTATATATTGGGGGAAAAGGACAGAGGGGAGAAGAAAATCAGTAAGCTTTCAAAACTGATTATCTTTACCAGTTATCAGAAATAGAATTTCATTATATTTTAGATTTGAATAGCTCTCAACAAATTATTAAGATGTTTAAAAGATTCACAATATGAAGTCTGAGTAATGATGATATTGCAAAAACAAGATTGCACATAAAGCATCCAAAAATATCGCTGTGGTTTTACCTTGGGCACAACCATGGTCTGTTACAAAAGTAGATCATACAGACAAAGGTATAAAGAAAAATAAGTTTTTAGCTGAAGGCAGCGGTCCTTTTAAGGGACATCCCGGCAATCCAATGAGTAGTAGAATTTAAGTGTGTTAACTCATGACGATGCTGAAGAATGTGATGTCTTATTCAGTAGAGTCTTCCCCGACTACGATTTCCTCCTGCTCCCCAACCTCTGCCACCTCTACTTCCCCTGAAGGCTCCTCTCATAATTAAAGTCGCCCAAATTGCTGTTATATTTCCCACTAGGAGGATTATAAATCTGCCTTGCATCATTTTTTGGTCCTGCTGGAAATTTCTCGGGTGGTGAACCAGCAGTTGTATCTTCAGTGGCTCTCTTTTGCCCAATTTCAACCTTCTGTACAGGTTTCCAGGATAATGTTACTGTGCTCTTATAAGAGGGAGGAATGTGGAAGAGATCCTTGATTAAAACACTGATGTTATTTGTTATTTTCAATGCAACAACTTTTATCTTGTTCTCGTCTGTTGTTAAGGCCTTGCCTGTTTTACCCGGGAGAGCCAAGCGAAGTTGTCTGATATAAACCTGCAGGCCCCGTGCAAAGTACTGCAGCCTAATTTTAAAATCTTTGAGTTTTTCTGCATTCAGTTTGGCTGTTAAGAAATCTGGAAGTTTTCGACCCAACTGGTGGAAGCTGTACAACAAACATTCCACATAACTGAACTGCAGCTTAGGTTTTTCATTACCAGCATTCTCCCCATTTTCTGCTTCTTCTGGAGGGAGAGGCATGTACTCCAAGAGCTTATCAAACAGTTTCCTTAAATTTGTTTCTAGCTTTTCCATGTCACCACAAAATGAACTCGTTTCCGCCAACAGTTTCAATACCTCTAACTGTATATCAAGACCCTCCACTGGAGTAGTTAAGGAGCTGAGGTTAGGGAGAACCTGCTCACAGAAGTCAGTCACAAACCTTGTGGAATGCACATTTTTCGAGAAGAGGGGTACCGCCTGCCGAGTGCACTGTAAGAGCCTGTCCACACAGTCGGGATCTGACGGGTTGAAGGTTTGTTCTAGGTCAGCCTGTTCAGCCACCAACTCTACAAGTGGCTGTCTTCCACTGTCTGTAAGCTCTTTAACCCAGACAGTTTCTTCATGAACAGGACAAATTCTTCACCGGTCACATCTTCTAGGACCTTTTTGGATTCAGTTAGTATAAGTTCCTCTACTTCCTTTGTTAAGACCTCATCTGGTAAAGTCTTAAGTTTTGCAGAAAGGAATTTGATTGCTCGTTCTCTAACAATGTCTTCTCCTTGAAGGATTTGGCTGAATAAGCCACCTAAAGTCCCTTTTGCATCCATCTTAAATATACTTACTAGGGCGTTGTTCACTAAGCTAAATTCTGCAGAGTCATACATTTGCAAAAGTTGGGTTAGAATATCTGCTACTCAGGGAAGAATATCTGCCACTGGAAAACTGAGGAAGCTCTTTGATTGCTTGCCATCGAATTGTACATCTTCATCCTCACAGAGGTCTAACTGTGCATTGATAGCAGAATCAGCCAATTCTGGAAAATGCTTAAAGAATTTTGGAATAAACTGAGCTGTTAACCTTTTTTCCCTGGTACCACCTTTCACACCATCCGAGATCACTTGATAGGCATCTCTATGCTGCCCACTGGCTCGTGGCACCGGCTAGGAGGCCATAGTTGCAGTAGAGCTCTTCCACGGTCGGCATGGTGAGCGACAAGCCGAGGGCTCGCTCCTGCGGTCCTTGTCGTCCTTGCCAGCTCCACCGCCGCCCCCGAAGTTCAAAGTCATGTGTTTTTAGATGGATAAATCCAGCAAAAACAAAGTCCAAGGCAGATTCCTGAAGCTATCACTGGTATTCCTGTTTCTTCATAAGTTTTGTCACTGGCTAAGTGGGACAGGCTGGCCAGCCTCTGCATAGACAGCTGGCTGCATGTTCCCTCTGGGCCATGTCCCTTTAGGAGCCATCAGTTCCTCCTTCTCTCTGTAGATCCTGACTTGGGACTTGCTGAGCCCTGCAGAGAAAGCCCTGCTGCCCTCCCATACCTAGAAGCACACTGGAAAGGAAGAAAATTTTCCTCCAGAAATAAAATACACATTCCATGTCAGGATCCCATACATGACAGGAAAACAGTATCTAAGGTCCCCACTCCACACTCCCAACCCCACCCAGAGCACAACCATGGAAGAGTCCCTGACACCTGGCTGTGACTCGGGTCTGGCCATATCACCAGAAAGCTGTAGGGCACAGACACAGCAAGATTTAACTTGTCACATACTCTGTATCTAGAACCACTGAAGGCGCTGGAGGTTAAAATGAATAAGACACCAACACCTTTGCCCTCATGGAACTCAGTTTCACGGGTGAGTCATAAATCTAACTGAAGGGAACAAAAAGTAGACCTCTGAAAAAATTAAGACCTTACAAGTTCAGGAGGAAAGTTAACAATAAGGCCTTAAAAAATAGGAAAGTATAAAAGAAGCATTTGAGAAATTAACATTAAAAGAGAAAACAGCTTTCATAACAACATCTATTAGAGTTTTTTCTTTGGCTTGGAAGGCCATGTCCGAGGAAGAAGCAGAAGGCAGACACCGAGGGCCAGGCAGCCCTGACCCCACCACCACCACCTGAGGTTTATGAGAGCGTCCCCTTCCTACCTGAAGCCACGTTAGGCTGGTTGCCCACAATTCCAACGGTCCTCCCGTTCATTCTTGCAAAACCAACAACGATGTTCTTGGCATAACTGGGCATGATCTCAAAAAATTCTCGCTCATCCACAACCTGCAGGGATGAATTAACTCCTGAGCTCAAAACGATAGCGAGCAAGATACAGCTAATGACATCACAGAATTACGAGCTGGTTAGCCGCCACCCCACCGCAGGCTCTCCAAGGAAGCAAAACAGACAGAGGGGCCCCTTCTCCCTGCTGGATGGGAAACCCCTGTGCACACTGCTAGGGGAGGATACACTAGTACAGCCTTTTTATTTTTATTTTTTTAATGTTTTTATTGACATGAGAGAGAAAGTGAAGCATCACTGTGAGGAACACTGATCAGCTGCCTCCCGCACAGCCCCTACTGGGAATTGAGCCCACAACCTAGTCATGTGCCCTGACCAGGAGTCAAACCAGTGACCTTTTGATTCATGGGACAACCAGGAAGGCCTTTTTAAAAAGGCTTTATTTGAATTTGGCACGTTTTTTTGTGAGTGTTTTTTAATATATTTTATTGATTTTTTTACAGAGAGGAAGGGATAGAGATAGTTAGAAACATCGGGGATGTGCCCGCAACCAAGGTACATGCCCTTGACCAGAATCGAACCTGGGAGCCTTGAGTCTACAGGTCGACGCTCTATCCCCTGAGCCAAACCGGTCAGGGCTTTTTGTGTGTTTTTTAAGTAGATGAGAAAGCTATACATGTTCATACACGTTTATTCCTAAGAGAAAGAAGTTACAAGAGGGAGAAAAAGGTAAAGATTGTATTGTTTGTTTGTCTGTTAAATATATTTTTATTGATTTCAGAGAGGAAGGGAGAGGGGGAGAGAGAGATAGAAACCTCAATGATGAGAATCACTGATCGGCTGCCTCCTGCACACCCCCCTCTGGGGATCGAGTTCAAAACCCAGGCATGTGCCCTTGACCGGAATCGAACCTGGGACCCTTCAGTCCACAGGCCGACACTCTCTTCACTTAGCCAAGCTGGCTAGAGCAAATGTTAGAGGTTTAAAAAAAAAAAAAAGACACCGTCAAGAAAGCAAGACTTTGGCTGGGGAAGGATGGAGTCAGGAGCCTCGGTAGAGACATCTTGCTTAGGAACCCAAGTGGAGACACCTTACTGATGAGGCTGAAGAAATGGTCACTTGTGGGGAGTGATAAACGTGATGCTTTCAATTTTCTCCATAAAGGAAATGCCCATATCATCTGATCAGAGTGGGAAGTGGAGAAAGAAGTTAGGGATTGGATCAGGCCTTAGGAAAAGTGAAGAACAGATGCTGAGGGGAGGCCCACAGCGCATACTCCGACCAGAGAGGCACACTGAGGACCCAGCTCAGGCTGGAGCGGGGCTCTGGGCTTTCCTCCTGCACCCTCCAGCCCCGCAGGCAGTACTTGGAAAGATGACTGAAGCCTTGAACCAGGGACATGGCTCTACAGGGCAAAAGGAGAATCAGGGCTCATGACTGAGACCCGATTTTACCTTCTTCACAGTACTTTTTGGACCTAAAACGACCCTTGCCATGGATGCTTTTGTTTTCTCTCTCACTTCCTAGTAAACGTGAGGTCCTTGAGGCAGGGATTTTGTCCATCACGGTGTCAGATAGAGCCAGCACCGGGACAGTGCCCGGCCATTAGCATCTGGTAGAGTGGCAGAGTCCAAGCTGGGACAAGAAAGCAGAAGCAGGAGGGGTTGAGGACTCCAGAGCAATAAGAAGATTGAGGGCTGGAGAGTCAAGGAGCAGAGGTAGTGGGAGAAGGACAGGCACAACTGTGAGGCTGTAGACAGTGCTGAGGGCTGAGGTCAGAGAAGGGCAGGTTGGTAGAAAGGTCTTGTCTTCACAGCTCTCATGGTGCTCAATAGGCTATAATCTAGCAATGAGGAGAGGCAGAGTCTGCCCACGGTTACCGGCTCACGCTGGCTCCCCAGAGTACAGGAGGAGAAGTAACAGGTCACTGGGGGAGCCAGGGCTCTGGGAGAGGCTGTGCCTATAGAGTCATTGCTTCTGGTAAGCAAGGACTGAGAACACAGTGTGCATATGAGAGTCTGAAGGAGACATTGGCCATCAACAGATGCCCTGATACTGTCTTTTCTTCTTAACAATCCAGGGATCTGCTATACCAACAAAAAGGTACAAATGACTCCTATCTCCCCAGAGTGGCTGACCTATGTACCTATTTACACAGACACACACATGCGCACGCGCGCGCACACACACCTCGACATTGTCAGAGGATACCCTATGTACTTCCTTTTCTCTAGAAAGGCAAAATGCCCTCTAAGCATAAGGCTCCAAACAAAGGCACCTAACAGTCACCTGGCCTCAACTCCAGACTCTAGGGCATGGCCCCTTCTCTATGCACCTGAGGGTGCCATCAAACACTCCTGAGCTCTGTTGGACCAATTGGCTCCTTCTCCCTCCAGCCCTCAAGTCCATCCAAGCGGGTGGAGTGCCTACAACCACTAACTCTTCCCAAAACACTCTATTCAGTGGTCCACCCCATGCTCTGCCTGTATTGCCAGGTGTTAAGGCCTGTGGGTCCAGCGCCTCCTCACTAGGTTAAAGCACATGACCATGGGCGTGGCTGAGCTAGCACAGGCAAGACAGGCAGATGCGGCACTTACAGAGTGTATGATGTCCACCATGTTGTAGGCTTTGGTAGATTCCAAAGGGACAATGGTATCGAGCTCAGGAACCAGACGGTCACTTTGGATAGAAAAAGAAGACGATATAATCAACACCAGAAGAACCAGTTATCTTCTATGAGTGGGGGATGGGAGAGGAAATGAGGGCTGGGCTGATTCGTCCTTACTGGGCTTTCAAAGCAGTCCCCAAAGATGTATTCCTTTGTTGCCACCACATTAAACTGGACCTAAGCTTGGTATTAATCCAAAAGATCTGCTTTCATTTAGAAGAAAAAAATGGGCTTACTCCCCTGAAGGTGATTCCTTCATTTATGCTCTCTGAATAACTCCTGCGTCCTAGGTACTGTGTAGAGCACTGAAGGACTGCAGCAAACACAGGACCCAGTTTAATTGTCCAAGGCATCACAAAGAAAAGAATAAGGACGTGTAAACGCAGTCAGAGTTCTGCTGAAATTACTCGGTTTACGTTCCCTGCTGGAAGGCAAATCTGCTGGAGCTCCTCTAAAAGGCAAAGCAGCCGGCCCCCTGGTGTGACACGGACTGACCAGTCACACAGGCTCCTGGCTCTCAGCTTCCTCCTGCCTCTATGTGACCGAGCGGAGCCCCGCACGGGCCCACTCCCAGGCCACAGGAGGACTCAGCTACATGGCCCTCTCCATCACGCTCTCAGCCCTTCCTGTCCCGTGTGGGCAGGCTGAGGTTGTTCTGACCCTGAGATATACCCATGGGATGAGTTTTGCCTTGATCAAACCACATGCCCAATCCAGCCCAACTTCCCAGAGAGCTCTGCACTGGGGCATTGGGTTTAGCCCCACCAGATAATGAAATACTACCATTTACACATATGCATGTAGCTTCCCTAAGATCCTATGAAGAGGGGGTATGGTTGGGCCCAAACAGGCTACTGGTATTTAGACATTTCTGAGCCCCTGGGCCATAACATCTTCAAATGATGTCCTAAATCTCTGATTTACTCTGTGGTACCCCCCTCCCCGCGCACACACACACACACACACATCAGGCAGTAGCCCCAACAGCAAGAAGGAAAGAAGGTCTTCTCTAAATGGCCAGCAACACACCCTTCCCCAGGACTACCCCAGCCTCTGGCCACAAGCAGGTGTGCGTAAGAACATTTCCTAAAAGGCATGCTATCTGTACCACTTCACAATTATTTCATATCAAGACACACACTCAAAAGCTTCCATCTCTAATTCTGGACAAAACAAGACTCTAAGAAATCAAATTTTTTGGCCACTCTTTATTCCCAAACTACCTATCAGGTATAACACAGAAGAAAAAGGTAAAAAAAAAGTAAAACCCCTCTTTGCTCCTGTACACAGATGTCTCACCATTGCCCATACCTGGGAAACACCCCACTGCACCCCACAATCTAACCCAGGCTACCCACTGGGAGAGATGCTGAAGGTCCAGGTAGGGCAGAGTGGCCAGACACAAGCAAGCCAA